CCCGCCCTACCCACAAATTGCCCCAGGTGGCCCATTGACAGTGAACAGCCAAGGTACCCCCTTCCTTACCCCCCACCCGACTCCCAATCCACACAGGCAACTAACTTTGGCTAGCAAAGGGCAGGCACTGCAAGGGAATCAGTTGCAGGCAGACCTCTGCTGCCTGCAAGAGCTGCAATATCACATCAGGGGTTCACTAGGGGTCTGTGGGACCACCCCAGATGGTAGCTGGTCTCACTGTGATCTGTGAATACAGTGGAACGCCTGGACACAGAAGTTGCAGCAAAACTGAGGCTGTATTGGCCTGATGGTCCCTGTCTTCCTGAGATCCCACTTTACCCAAGCTACAAAGTGCCTGCAGCCCATTGACAGGCAGCCTTCTCGGCCCTGCTTGGCTCTGGGGTTGTGTACTCTGCCCGGCCAACAGACCTTGGCTAGCACAGTGAGTGCATTTTGGGGAAGACAGTTGTGGACAGACCACTGCTGCCTATACAAGCTGCAATATCTGTTGAGAGGACTGTAGGGGTCTGTGGAACCGCCCCAGAGAGCGGCTTGTCTCCCTGTGATCTGTGACTACTGTGGGAACGTGCAGACGCAAATTACAGAAAACTGAGGCTATTGGCCTGACAGCTCTTGACTATCTGAACTCCTGCCCCATCCAATACACAAAGTGCTCGCTGCACGTTGATAGGCAGCCGCTTCTGCCCTGGGGTGGCGCATTCTGCACAATCAACAAATCTCAGCCAGCAAAGTGAGAAAAGATCAGGGAATACAGTGACAGGAAGATCACTGCTGCCAGCACAAGATACAGTATCACTTGGGCAAATCTCAGAGAATTTTGTGGGCCTATCACAGATGACAGTAGTTCACACACTGACATCTGACTTTGGAAGGAGCCATCAATCCCAGAGCTATAAGGAAATTTGATGCTGTGTAGGCCTGATGGCCCCGTATGTCACTAAGATGATGCCCCACCAAACCCACAAATTACCTGTGGCAAGCCTGCTCCCAGGCAACTCAGTCCCATCCTGTGCTTTCCTGGGTTATGAATTCAAAAACAAACAACAGCACTCAGTTCATGCAGCCCACGCAAAGCCCGTTCATCCGGGAGAAACATTCAATGGCAGGCTCACAGCCACAAGCTTCAATAATTCTTAAACAGAGCTTGGGTGTTTACAGGCCTGAGGATTGCAGCAGGTGACCTTGCTATTATTGCAAACTTGTTTCAAGGAAACTTTTTTGTACAGGGAGTCACAGAAACAGTGCTGGCATGTAAACTGACACTGCAGTGGCAGGGGGAAATTTACTCAATAGACCCAGGAGACTCCCAGGGTCCCTGTGCAACCCAACACATGTATCACCCAGAGGCTCTTCCAGTTTCAGAAACTTACGGGCAGCTGACAGGCAGTGTCAGGCCTTGAGGAGCACTGGTCCCTCTGCTAAACTGCCCTAGGTTGGTGACGAGGGATAACTGGACCGCTGCCTACAGTGTTGCCTCTACCACTTACCTATAGATCCAGCAGAGGCAACAACCATCTGTGGATCACATTATAGTTCTCACCAGGTAGCCCTGAGCAATTGAAGGCAGCAGCTGATGTTGGCCTACTGGGGAGCCCCTCCCAAGGGGCCACAAAACGAACACATCCAGAGGCTGGCACCAGACCATAACAGAGCAACTCCTGACTAGTCCCATAAGTGGAACACACAAAGGGTGGTTGCAACAAGTACACAAGCCTCTAGGGCAAATCCCACTTGGTGGGGTCAGCTCCCTCACAGTAACTCTTAACCTGTGTGTGTAGCCAATTCCCACAATTAGTCAGCCTGAACGTTAATCTCATCCACTGATATACTAACAACAATAAAGTCTTGGTGACAACAGAAGACCACACACAACCCATGCAGAGATCACGTCCAGAGCCCCCAGCACAGGGTATCAGGGAAAGTGAGCCACTAGGCCACAAAGGACACCTTCCACAGTAGGCCATTTGGCTAAGGGTGAGAGATGAAACAAATATTCCTGACACATAGAAACGAACACAGAGAGACTAATAAAATGAGAAAATAAATAAACATGCCACAAATGAAACAACAGGTGAAAACTCCAGAAAATAA